TTGTCATTTCCCTCAAAGTAAAAAGGGAGAGAAAATTCAGAGGAATTCCCTTCATGTCATTTAATGTTATTTTGCTTTTCCTTTGTCCCCTTAATGAATTGGAAAAGATTTTAGCTTGGTCTTTTTTTTGTTTTTTTGGCAACATCTGTGCCAAAGTAATTTCCACAGGGAATACATATTACTGCAAAAGAAAATGTTGCAGCTCGCTGCATACATTTGAACCCACGTCCCGGGCTTTGCTCTTTGCTCTACAAATTCCAAACATTATCTGTTATTTACAAGCTAAATTATGCGGTAGCTGCTGGCAATATATAGCACTACTCTATGTACCCCCAAATATACAATATTTACTATATGTATGGCACCCACCCTTCCTGCTCTTTGGTGTGTGCTGTGCCTGTCAATTTAGTTGGTCCATAAATTTCAATATTGTACTCCCGTTGCTGTTGAATTTGTTTTTGGGTTCCACTATGCACGATATCTATGCGGGTTATCTTCTTCGTGGTCTGACTCTGACGTGTGAGGTTATCGGGAGGAAATACTATCCCTAACTATTCCATAATTTGCTTTAGGATTGGTGTGAATTCTCTCTTGTTCTCTCTTTCTCTGTTGTATCTTAATTTTCTTTAATGCCTTATTATGATCGTCGACTGCAGTTCGATTCGTTTCGATTCGATGTTTGTGCCATGCGTGTGCTGCAATCCCCCGACTCCTCTATCCTCTACCCTCTCTACTGATAATAATTCCGTGTGATTGACAATTGTTTTGCTCCTCTTGCTCCTCTCTCTTTCTCTGTGGGGTTTTTCTCCGTTTTTTGTTCAATTTTGTTCGTTTATTTTGCTGTTGCGATAATGATAATAATATGTAATAATACTTATTTCGATGGCCATAAATCGTGCTTATTTATGGAAAATGAGATTTGTAGTGGCGCATTAATTGGTCGCCGTTCGCACGTCAGCTCCCCTCCGCTCCCTGCTCTGCCTGTCCGATGAAACGATTGTGGAATTCTAGTACTTTTGAGTGTGGTCTCATTGCGATGACATTGATGTTCCTCGCCATAGCGGAACAGAGAATACCGATCTATACCTACTGAGAGATATCACTCTGCTCATTGAAATGCTCGTTAATTGAAATGTTTACTTGATTTCGTTTTGCGATGATGATCTGAGATGATCTCTGGATGGGACTTCATTAATTAAAAGAGTCTTTGATTGCGAGGCAGACCGATTTCTGTGAGCCTTGAACTTGGTTAGGTTGTAGCATTGACAGTGCCATTAAATGGGTGGTTTTCCGCTCATAAATTAAGGATCATTATTTAATTGGTCATAAAAAATAATAAAATCATAACATAAAGAATAAAATCAACAGAATTCATTTAAAACCCATTAAAGTGGGAAAATATAGGTTTGGGGGTTATAAAGTTTTTGATTTTGTTTACACCTCTCTCTCTCTTCCTCAGCAAGTTTCTCCGAGCACTCGTGTGTCCTTTAATCATTATTCATGTACTCCTCCAAGAGTGTTCTTCAACTCTTTAAACTCTACTCCCCTCCCTTTAAGTGTTTTCTTGCTGTGTACTTACAGTAAGATTAATGATCTTTCAATTGTTGCCAAGATTTATGAGCTTTTAAGTGGATCCTCACTCATTTGTAAGTTGTACTTAGCGTTGGAGTCCTTCAGACTCAATTGATTTGTCAGTTGGGAGACCCAACCCAAAGCCAAAAACCTCAACTTGGACATCGAATGGCTGGGCATGCCTGCTGTTGCTGTTGCTGTTGCTGCTGCTGCTCGGAGCATTTCCAGGGAAGTGAGCTGTTTCGCCGTCTGTGGCATGGCGATGGCGATGAGGCTTCATGGGCATTGACAGAGCGCCGGGTGCAGCATTGCAGCAGCAGCAAACAGTCAGTTGGAGTCGACAACAACGCCACCGGTTGTCTAGTTAAAGCGAAATTCCCCTCTGGGGGCCGGGAAGCGAGAAACAAACAAAGGCCCCAGACCCAGCGATCGATCGACAAAGTACAAGTCAAACAACACACAAAAAAAAATACCAGAAGCAAACACTCTCCTATAGGGCCGAAGTCTTTGATACCCTTGAAGACCTGTCGTTCATAAAGAGGTAGTCCGAATTTAGGAACACCTTTCTAACCGCATATCTATCTATCCAAGACACGATTGAACATTTCTGTTTGAAATATCAGTAGATCAAACATCTAGCATCTTGCCTTGTAGGGTCGAAATACCCTACCTTCTTTGGCATTATGTATAGGGTATAAGACCTAAAGACAAAAGACATGCAAAAAGGAGGAGGAGGAGAGGTACCACCCAGGAAAATCACGATGACGGACTGATGCCTGGGCAGCAGATACTTTGCCTGCGAAAGCGAAACAACACAGCGAACGACAGAGGCAACACCTCTTGTTAGTTTTGCTGATCATGATCGTGGCAGGACGGCAAGGAGAAAGGGAAGGGGAGAAGAAAGATCGCCCAATGGTTGATTGCAGCACGAACGAGCAAGACGACTTTTTCGTGGGTCAATCATCGGGTTTGCGGCTGTAGTTGGAAGATGGGAGTCGGCAGTTGGGACTGCTGAGGTCAGGTTCATGTTTCACAGTTTGCAAATAACTCTAATCGGGACTCTTTTTCCCTGTGTGGGTGTATGTGTGCAGTCTTTTCTTTGTATCGTAGCCCTCGTACAGTGATCCTTCTTCGCCATCAGCACCCACTCCCACTCCTCTCTAAGCTGTTAGCCAGACTTCTTCTCTCTGTGCAACTTCTCCCTCTTTTTGGAGCCTGAACAAGCCGTGCATTGTAAGTTCATTAGCGGCCCGGGCGCACGATTTGCTTGTTGGTTGTGTACCCTTTCTTAGAGGGTTATATGATTGGGACCAGAACTTAGGGCATCTTTATGTAAAACGATAAAGTCAAATTCCTCTGTCTGGCTCATAGTTTTCACTGTTCCCTGACTGAAACTGTCTTTAGATTATCATTTTTGACTGTTCACCATGGAATTGTGGAAGATTTCTACGGATCCATATTCTCGCTACCGCATTTGTGTGCGTTTTGAGATTACTCTCTACTTAAGATTACTTATACCTCTGGCAATATCAATCTGTAAGAGTATTCAAAAGCTTTGTTCTGATAATGTTAATACTTACGAGTATATGCAGTCCCACCTCTCTCTTGTTTATAGTTGATGGTAGATCTGACTTTGGCTTCCTCTTCTCCGCGAAATGCATATAAACATGAGATTTTTTTTCCTTCCCACTTCTTCCACCTTCTTTTGGCATACCTGGAAGCCTGCTCCGCCTCCTCCTGCTGGTCCTCTCCTAACTAGGCAAAATCACTCATACAGCCCGCCACATGTGGTCGTGTGGTATGAAGAGGAGGCCAGAACCGGCTGGCCAGGAGAGGAGAGGTGGTGCCAGAGGAAGGAGGCGAATGGAGAAATCTTCATCGAGGCACCCTGCAGCTAAAGAACAGGGTGTATTGAACCGCATCAGCGCCGTTGCGCAGAGCCGAAGCCAAAAGTCAAAACGTGAGCCTGGACGATCGCTCTCTCTCTCTCTAAAACCTGCCTTGGGTCTCCTCTCCTCTACTCTACTCCCTCCTGTTGCCTTTTTATCGCTCTTTTAGCAAGCGAGCGATGACGCTAACAAGCCAGAAGAATGAAGCAGGAGAAGCAGCAGAGGAAGAAGGGCGTCAGAGAGAAGAGCGCAGACGCGACGACTCGTTAGGGGAGCCTCTCTTCTGGCTCGTGGTCGGTGCCGGTCCGGGAACGGCGTTATCTGGTAACAACGTGTTACGAATTACTTTTAACAAGACCCTTAGCAGATAAAAACCAGAAAACCAGTTGTGAGAGAGGCACAGCCAAAGAGAGAGAGAGAACCAAGCAAAGCAGAGAGATGGAGAGAGAGAGAGAGAGAGAGAGCGGATTGGAACGTGCGTTCATTAGCGCAAAGAGCATGGAAGCGTTGCACAGGGCAGGACAGGAAGGGCTTGCAATTAAAGCGCTGTTTGCGCTAGTTCCTGTGATTGTCATGCACTGATAGGCCTCCTCCCTCCATACACATGTAATGCCTAATGAGGATGAGTGTGGAGGGGGTGGATTGGCAGCGGCAGAGGCAGATGAGACACCCTGTATGGATTGAAAGTCGCAAAGAACTTGCAGAATGTCAGCAGGGTGCTTGCTTGCACTCCTTCCTTCCTCAAATCCAGAAAGAGAGAGAGTGCCAGAGAGAGTGAACAAACCTGAAAATATGCCAGACCAGACAACAACAGATGCCAGCCAGTGGATGGATGGCAAGGATGGTTGGCTGGCATTTCGAAGGGGGGTGGTGGGTTCATGCGAAACGCAGCACATGTGCAATGGGTGGAAACGGTAGCCCAGGCCGCGGAGAGCTGTCAATCTATTCGGAGAGATTTGTCACCCAAGGAAAAACGGCTGACATTATTTTGTTTGGCTCGGGGGTGGGTTGAGAAAGTGCAAGTTTCACAGCGGAAGCGCGTGTGTGGCCTAATGAGACACTCTAAATGGGAGCAGCAACCCATACAGATCTTGGCATAAACGGCATCAATAAAGACCAATATGAATTTCCCTTTGCCAGATTTATTGACTTATGAAAGCAATAGAAGAAAAGAGAGCGCAAATCTCAGGCTAAAAGAAGGTACATCTTTATTCGACGCCGACTATTTGAGTCACTTACACTTTATGAGATGGGAAATACTTTACCCTCTTCATTGCGATAATTTGCAAAATAAAATCAAAAACTTAATACTCTCTTTGATATGTTCCATATACCCATGGCAAATTCAACCCCGCTCCATACACTTCATAATATGGGAAATGCACCCTTGTTCCACATGCCAAAAGCCTAACCAAAATCATAAAACTCTATGAGAGAGTATGCCCGCTGCTCTCTCCGGTCTTGCGCTCGCACTCTCCCCCGACCCGAACCGAACCGACACACACGCTCGCTCTCTTGCCTATTGCTCATTCTCTTTTCAACGATCGCAGCGAACGGTTCGCGTGTACGGTGTGTTCGGTTTTTTGTGCTCTGTCTTTTCGTGGCGCTGGACAATTGCGCGATTTGTGTGGAGGGAAACCTTAATTACACCTTTCAAACTTCAATTAATCAATAATGAAACTACAAAATAGGCAACGGTAAACGCCAGTGCGACTATCTGTGACATCTTCTGTTTGTTCGTGTGCGTGTGTGCCCCATTGTCGTACACTTTTAACAGAGTAACAATAGCAGTCGTTGATATAAAAGAAGTTTCATAAAAACAGCCACCAATCCAACCAACACTCGGTGGCGTCCTCGCGCGTTCGCGACAATACAAAAACACGAGAAATAATAAACAAACCAAAAGCAAAACGAGTTATGAAAATACATCAAATTGTGTTTCGTGCCATGTGAGAATGTGTGTTGAAAATTGTTATAAAGAAACGATATCGCCCGCCTCTTATTTTGGGCCCGATCTGTGATCGATGGGGATGTCGACAACGACGACGACGACAGGCGTCAACTGAAAAATATTGGATTTGCTGGCGCCTTCAGTACCCACCCAGTAACCCACCTTAAGGCGCAGCAACCCAACACGGCGACAACATTTTCGCGCAACACAAAATGTTAATTAAAAAATCTGTCCGAAAAATAAGGTAAAAATTACTTGCAAGATGAGAGGAAAAACAACCGCACAAACCAAAGTTTCCATCTCCCCCCGTGCATATAGTATCTAGAGTGAGTGAGAGAGTGTTTGTGTTTTGATGTAAAGCCAACGTGAAATTGGATTAACTCTGACAAGACGCACGGCGGTTTTTAATTACCACAGAAGCAGCAAGAGTTTTTCGAGTTTCCTCCGGGGATTACCATCTCAGCATCTCAGGTACGTGTCTTACCCCTTTCTATGCGAAGTGCGCTGCTCCGTTCCTCATGTGGGGGGATCTGGAAGATTTCATTACAAACTGCCTGCCAGTCACAAAGATCAGTTGCGGTGGGAATGGATGGCTCCCAACCGATTCGTTTAATGGGATATGTCAGTCAGTCAAAGCATTGGAAAGTGAAAATTATTGTGAAAGATGTCTTTGCGGATGAACAGCTCACATGTGAGGAGCTCTTTTAACACATGAGTACTTGTGTTGCCTTGATTATCTTTTATAAGAAAAGTCTCCCTGCAAAGAGCAGGATTGAATGGAATGTTGATCTTCTCTTGGGACTCGAAATCATCCACTATTTAGCTAAGAAGGAAAACTCATTTAGGGTAACTCTTTTCGAATATTGTTGATTGTTTTGGTCTTTTAAATCAGATTCCCTTGCAAAATAGATCTACCGTTGTGTTGTTCTTCTCTTACCATTACCTCTACCGCACACAACAGTTACTTTTTACACCGGTTCCTACTGTTCTTCCCCCGCTTTTGCTTGCCGTTTGGCTTGCTGTGCACCTTATCTCATGCTCCGTCTCTCTCTAGCCCTCTTTGTTGACTCAACAACAAAAAAAATGCGGCTGTATTTTCTATTTCTTCTTTTTTTTCGACAATTTTCGTTTATTTCATTCGAATTCGAATCAATATTGCCGTCAAACGAATGGAGAAGCACTAACTGGGGGAATCTTATCTGCAAATGGGATGGTGTGGTGTGGTGTCTGAGGGGGCTGGCGGCGTACATTATTTCATTATTTGTTGTCAAAGTTTTCGGCTGCCGAGGCAGCGCAATGACTACCAGAAGAACTACCATTGAGAGCACAACACACAATCGATTGGAGGAGAGAGCGGCATTGCAGGTGCTCTGTCTTTGGCTTTACCTGGAAAGAGTCTCTGTTTTGCCTCCCTCCCTCTCTCTCTCTCTCTCTCTCTCTCTATCTATCTGTATCTTTCTGGTCTTTAATCTTTAATCAAGATAAGCCATTGCATGTCGATCGTCTCATGTCGCAGACACACACAGATAGAGAGAGAGAGAGAGAAAGAAAGAGAAAAAGAGATCTTTGTAGATAGTTTTCCTCTTGCATTGGAAACTTATGGCTCGTCTGTGGTCATAAATTATGCGTAACGCGACACCTTACCTCCGATGCCATACTCTGTGCAGGTACAGGTTTGGTTTCTTCTTCATCGATCCACGATCGAGCCACAAAATGTGTCGTTAAATATTTTATTTCATTTTTATTGCTCTCAGCCATTGAGTTTTCGCATGAATCGACGAGAGGTGGAGGTGGAAGATCGTTGAGACGAAATGATTTCATTAATTTTTCAGACGCTTTCTCAAGGTTAGGCTGGACTGGGGACACACTCACTCGCCTGCTGTTCACCAGGCATTCGAAAGGAAGTAGCTTAAGGTGTTGCCAGAACACAGACGCGAGCGACCAACAAAAATATCAATTTACATATTATAGAGACAGAGGGACAATCGAGGATTGGAATCTCTCTCTCTCTCTCTCCCTGTCTCCCTGTCTTTCTTAGCTGCTGCAACATGGACATCATGTGGTGTCTCTGGCCTCGCCTGGCCCGCACTTTTGCAATTCGAAAATTCGAAATATTGCGCTTTGTCACACAGCACAAGCAAACGTCTTTCTGGGACGGGAGCCGCCTGCTGTGGCGACACTCAAAGAGGCAAGGCTCTCGGGTCTTGTTGCCTGTTGCCTGTCGGGGCACTGCTGCTGCTGCTGCTTCTGCACTGTGGTGCCAAAGCAGTGCAAATAGGAACACTTTACGAGGCGATATTCGACAACATCCTGTGTGTACCACTGTGCACTGTGACCTCCCGCAGCTTTAAGGCTCTCTTCGGTCGCTGGCAGGCTCTAACTGCCTCTCTCTCACTCTGACACTGTCGCTGTCTCTGTCGAACAGGTGATCATTTTACAGAAAACGTTCCTTGGGCTACCTTCCTGTTCGCCCGCTGAGAATCCGAGAATCCCAAAAGTCGGCCATAAATTATGTTTTTGTTTGGTTTTTTGTCATTCCTCTTCTTTGGCTATAAATTGTCGATGCCTGACTTGGTGGTGTGTGCTCCTCGTTGACTTTTTTTCCACTTGTCAAAGTCCTTTCTTGTACGACTTTTTTTCATGACTCTTATTTTTGGGGTGCCTTGTCTCCTTTGGGGCTTAATTGTGAGGATTATCTCGTCGTGGGATGCGTATTTTTTTTTTTGTTTTAGCTGCTGCGAAAATTTATTGACAAGCGCATTGACACTCCACTCACTTGGCCAGTGAGTCAGTCAGTCAGTCAGTCAGTCACTTGCAGCCGTCAGTTGACTTGTCAGCGTTGCGGCGGCTGTGCCTGTCAGTTTTGTATCCTGTTTAACATTCCTTTTTTTCTTCCAATGGATGATGCGTTGGATGATGGAGCTGTCAGCTTAGGCACTAATGTGAATACAAATGGAGGTAGTTCTGAAACTATCAGCGGAGCCTAGAGTTTGTTTTTGATATTTCGCAACTCTATTTCCCAGTTTTAGAAGAGTTTGTTAAATTGTTTAAATGTATTGGAACTATAGAAATGTTTTCAAATGTTGTGATAGCATCCTAAGAATAAATTAGCATCATATGACCACTTCTTCATTCAGTCCTTCCACTTGGTGCCTCTCCCTCTCTTTTTTCCTTCCCGCCCATCTATCTTCTTTGGCAATTTGTCGGAAGAGCCCCAGCATTATCTGTTTGTTCCCATGGATCATACAACGATCTTGTTATAATTATAAAACCAACAATTGTCGAGCGCTCCTCAACTGACTCTGGGCCACTTCTACCTTCTTCGTCTTCAATGGTAAACCAATAATTTGAGGGTTCACCTGAGCAAACGACCCTCATAATTATAAGGAAAACAACATTTCTCCCTCTCTCTCTCTCTGTCTCTGTCTGTGCGTCTCTTGTTTAAATAACAACAGCAGGAACAACAAAAACATATTGATTAATTTTTTGAGGCAAACACGGGTCCCGCAGTTTGGTCTGAAGCAGGTCTTGGTGGAGCAGCAGCAGCAGCGGCGCGAAGCGGCCAAGTCGTCCATCAAACTGCCCAACAAGAGTCAACTGTTACCCCGTGCTGCAATTCATCAAACTGCCCGGCGGGGTCTACCGTACTCGTGCTCGTGTACTCGTACTCGTACTCTATCCACGAATCTGTGTGTGTGTGTGTTGCTGCTGTTGCCTGAGGAGAGGAGTTTCTCTGCTTCGTTTTGTTTGATTTATTTTGCAGCTCCTTCAATTTTCCTTTGCTGCTGTCTCTCTCTCTCTGTCTCTCTCTTTCCTTTTCTATCCAACTCTTTCGTTCAAATCAATTTGACATGATTGCCCACTGGATCATCCATAACCTTCTGCTTCTTCGCTCCGCTTTCTTTGGGCCATGTTTGTTTTGAATATTTTGTTTGCCGGCTATTAGGTTTTTTGTGGTTTTGTTTTTTTTTTGGTTATTTATGAACCCGCAAGATACCTACGGGGCATCACCACATATGGCTCATTGGAATTGGCCCGGCAATTAGCCAACAGCAGACGCCTCTGTCTCTCTCCCTCTCAACATCTCTCGGAAACAGAAATATTTGCCTTTCAATGAAAAATCACCCAAAAAACAAAGCTACAAAATCGTGCGGCTGGCCCTTAGATCTTTTTTAGCATTTGTCTTTGGCCAACAATTCATCGAGAAATTGCCTTTTAATGGCAGTTTACTTGTAGCCGTTTTTTCGTTGTTGTCTTACCTCGTTTTATGGATAGATCTTCAAGCGATTTATCTTCTATAATTTTTCAATAAATTTCCAAGCAAAAAAAAAAATCGTTTATTATGCATAGTTTTGGTTAGACAGGCAGGCAAGCTATCAATTTTTCACTGGCATTCGTATCGTATCTGGCAGATACATCAAACAAAAAAGTTTCAAACTTGTTGCCTGCCTGCCTGCCTGCTGCTGCTGCGGCTGCCTCTGCTGCAAACTGTGTCGCTAAATGTATGGTGTCGCTGACGCTGTTGTTGTAGATACATTCCATAATAAAAATCAACAACCGCAGCGACTAACAGAAAAAAAATCGACGACTACCTCGAAAAGACAACGCGAGAAAATGACAAAGGCAAACGGCAAGCGACTACGAGAATGAACGAACGACGCTGACGCTATCTAGAGGTAGAACTGATGATGATTTATGAGCGTCAGAAATCAAGTAGAAAATTACAGTAATAGCAGAGAGAGAGGAAAGCGCCCAGAAGCTACATAGCCGATACATTTTATTGTGCTATGCGTATCTCTCGTATCACTAGTTCTTGCTGTGGTTGTGTCTCTCCCCTTTGGTTTTATTGGGCAATTTTAAGCAGAAGCGACATACACATTAAAAGATACCCAGTACTTGGTTTCTATACAGTGTGGATGTTGCTACAGGGTACATAGGAATAATTTAACCCATTGAAAGCTACTTTTTCTCAACCGTTTTCTGGGGAAAATGCTGAATATGGTAATTGGCTATGCAAATATTAGGCTTATCGCCTGATTAAAGCAGTTTGGATGGATTTCTACAGAAATAAAATCAAAAGTGTCATGCTATAAATGTATAATGGACACAGATACACATAAATAAAAGATACAGGTACAAATACGAGTACATCTACAATATTTATGGCCATATACGTTCAGCATCTCAGGTTCTCTCTCTCTGTCGGAATAGTCGAGACAAATTCATTTAGCAAGACGACACCTTGTTAGGGAACGCTGACTTATGGGCAATACTGTGGGACCTCGATGATAGAAAGGGGGTGGGGGACATGTGCCACATGTGACTCGTGTGTGTGGGTTGTTTTTAGCAGGAAATGTAGCGACTAGGTGTTAATTTTGTTTGTTATGCTGCCACCCCACCCCTCCACCCCCACAAACAAATAGTTTTCCATAAGCGAGAAAAGAAAACACAAAACCAAAAAGGGAAAATTCTCATTTCAAATGCAACAATTAACAAGACAAGAGACATGCGGGTTCCACGAGAGCTGAACAGAAAAAGATTGAAAAATCTAAATGGAAATTCGTTTTGGAAGAGCAGCATTAACAAGGGTTACCAGATGGAGAAGAAAATTTACATTGATTTCTACCCAAAATTTGAAAATTAAAGAATATATTTTCGACCAAGAAAATACTTTCTTTGAAGCTCAACGACTTGTTTTCAGCGCAGGAGCGCTCGTGTCCTTTTGCTACTTGAGGTGAAAGGAACTTTCCACCTTCCGCGGAAACTTCTATTCCATGGGGGATATATGGGTACATATCCCCTTGATTAAATGAAACTTATTTGAAATTAAATGTAATCCTTATACAGAAAACAGTTAATTAATTTTTGCAGCTTCCCTTGAAGTCAGTTAACAAAAGACCAAAGATAAACTGGGCTAAAAAAGGGTGGACGGAGGGGCACAAAACCACAAAACGGAGCAGCAGCAAAGGAAAGAAAAGGAAAGGCCAACGAGCTGAGAGATGGAGTATAAAAATGCCCAAGTTTTAAACAGAATTCAGATCTTGGGAATACGCGGAGAGTGCTGTTGGGCTGCCCCAGGCATCATTAATTCTCACCCAAGTGTGGCACGACTACTACTCCACGGCCTCTCTCTCTCTTTCTGTCTCTGTCTTTGTGCATATTTCCAATTAAAGCCACGCTGCAACTCTAATGAACTTGAAGATATCAATCTACGCGCTGTTTAACCCTACAAAAAAATAACCGCAGACTGCAAGAAAGCCACAGACAGACATGCGAGGAGGAATCGACCGAAAGGCAGGCACAAAATAAATGTCAAGCTAATTAAAAAGCATCATCTACGGTCCATCCTGACTGCAATCGAGCCTGCAATATTACTCATAAATGTTTTGTAGAAAGACACAGATGCAGCAGCAACTTTGTTTAGAGGCAGGCAAAATTAATTGAAATTATGCCCAAAAATAGAAGGGAAGAAACCAATGCTCTAGAAGATACGCATCTCTGGGATGCAACATCTCCACGAACGAGTATGCACATGTTTTTTTGTCTACTTTTTTTTATTTGTTGGAAAAGGAAGCGGCTGCTGCTCTCTCCGCCTCGCGTTAAAACAAACAACAACATTCACTCGGTATTATTCTTATAAACAGAACAGAGAACTCCCGAAGTAAAATAATTTGTTATTTTCAGCATTTCAAGGCATCAGGTTATTTTCTCTCTCTCTCTCTTTTTTGTATCTTTTTTGGGCTCGGCGAGGCTCTCTCCCTGCGTGTATCTTCTTATTTTTTTTGGGTGCCTGTCTCTCCTCCATCGCATCGAAACATAATTAATTTCTGTTTGTTTAAGGTCTGCGCTCGCTCGTCTGCTTCCTGCAACAGCCTCGACGCGACGACGATATTTGTTTTTCTCTAGAGAGAACGGAAGGGTACACACGAGCACAGGGCACAAGGCGGCGGAGAGGCAGTCAGTGCCTTGTTGCTCCTTGAGATTCATTGGAATTTCAATTTCAATTTCAATTTTCAAAACAAAACAAAACAAAAAAGATGCAGATACAATACATATTCATTGTCTCCTCTCCGGTCGGTTGGTCGACGTCGTGTTGAGCATTTTAATGCTTGATCATAAATATTGTGGCTTTTTTGCAATGTCATAAATTAAACATTTTGAAACTGATAGGCTTCTCTTCTCTCTCCCTCTCTTTGTCTCTTTATTGATCAGTCAAATTGTGGGAAAAGCCAAGCGAAAGAGAGAATATTTTTTCGCCATAAATTATGTGCTTAATTAATTGGCCTACCAACCAGAGAGAATCTTTCCCATTTAATTAGTGAGAAACCGAACGAAAAAACGAACCCTTCAAACTATTCTCAATCGCAGTCTCTCAATCTCTCCAAGCAGGTTCTTTGCCTCAGATTTCTATTGAAATAAGCTTGGATTCGAATTCAAATTGGGTTTCTTCTTCTGGGAATTCTGTTTTGTTTAGGGAATACGACAACACATGATATTTCTTCAGATTTCTAAAGACCCCGCCCCAAAGAAATGTTTTTCAGAGTCTCAAATGAAAAGAAAAATATATAATTTGATAAAATACCATGATTTATGCGCCCAGAGTGATTTATACCCACGAACAAGCAAAAAAATATAAATATGTCGTACGAGTGGAGAGGAGAACTCCATACGTGATCATATTTATTCGTAATCGTTGTGATTTTCCTTAATTGGGTAAATAGTAAATTTCGAATGAAATAAACACAAAACCCATGACACATGAAACCCAGAAAGCATAAAAGAATTTCAGGGTTTTTTCCTCAGAAATTTCTCAACACAAAAGCACAAAAAGTGTCCCACTAATGTTCTAAGAGAGACAAAAATTACTGTTTAAATTTCTCAAGTATCTATCTCCCCCCCAAAAACAAGAAAAACTCACGCACGCATTTTCGCAATAATCTCCATCATATCCGCCTCCATATCTCTCATTAGGCCGAGATATGTACTCGTACAGCGACAGCGAGAGCAGCGGTCGGAGGAGACGCGCCATAATTAAAAAATTGTCATTTTGCTGTCGTTTGCTTAACTTTATCTGCAATTGGTTACACCAGAGATTACACCTGTGGCAAATTGTATGTGAGAGGGGCCTGGAAAGGGGAGCAGAGCGGCGCGGAGCAGAACTAAATCAAAGGCGGCAACGACGCGCACAAAGGGACTGCATTGTGGTTGTCTGACTTATCTGTGGGGGAGTCGGTAGAGCGGTAGGGCAGGCAAATCTCTTTAGCGGTAGACCGAGGGACAGACCTCTGCTCTCTGCCACTTGTCTATTTCGTACTCTTCTGATCAACTCTTCTCCTACGTCTAGCCTCCATGTTCTCCCACTCTTTACTCTCTCTTATTTTTTTTTGTCGCTGGCTGATTAAACCTGCATTACATACACATAAACATACAGACTTATACACAGAGACACACAACAAATACTTCTATACAAAGAGTGCCGTTAAGACAAACAACGTTCGAGTCGCGTTCTTTAATAAGAAATAAAAAAAAATAAAGAACAAGGCAGGAGAAGAAGGAGGGGAAAAAAAGTTAATTAAATTGTAAGCGAGCTTCCCGGCTCTTCCCCTTCTGCGCACACACGCAACTTCTTCATCATCTCTTCAGCAGCAGCAGCAGCAGCAGCAGCGTGTCGGACGGGGGCCCCTTAATCCCGTGGCGTGATTAAAGTAGACCACTTTTGCCTAGGACCCATGCCCCATGCCCCATCCGCTGCTCTCCTTTCCTGTTTGTATTTGACGTTGGGAGTGGGGAGCCGCTGCTGCTGCTGTTTTTCTTTCGCTTTTCCGCGTTTGAAGTCGCCAGAGACAACTCCAATTGTTCTTTAGCCGCCCCAAAGAAATTTATTGTCCAAATATTAACATATTTTCCTGGTTAGTAGAGGGGTTACTCGGCCGCAAATTGTGGCAACTCTTCTTGGGGGAGGCGCGCATTCCTTTTCGGACAGACAGTGTCGCTGGTCGCCATAAATTCGGTTTTATGCCCCATTGCATAATTAAGTTATTTTGTGCTTTTAATATTTTCTAATTACAACAAAATTTATAAACATTCCATTTACGACCATTTTTGGCGATAAACAAAAGAGTGAAGTGGAAGGGATTTGGAAGGTGTTTTTCGGTTTAAGCTTTATGTCAGTCGCTTTATGAATGTCTCTGCAGCGTAAAAACCTTATCCAATATAACAGATAACTTATCAGATCTTTCGCTTGTTCTCTTTTGCATCTCATTACAGAAACAGAGGAGATTCTCGTGTATGAAACCAGAGTAGCAGATCTACCAGAAAGCAGCTAATAAATAAAACCCAACGGAATGGAAAAAATGGTGAGTGGAGGAGCTTTGAAAATGTTTAGATCTATAGAAGGTTTAGGATACAAGTGAATTGAAAGAAGAGCTTGAAGATTGCAGTTCTCCTCTATGAAGAGTTCCCATTAGAGTCTTCCACTGTATTTGTTGCTGCAATTTTATGTAGCTTCCCTGTCAATCTTATTTTTGCTTCTATTTCTTAAAACATCTTCTCTGTAGACGCAAATATAAATAAGGCAACAGAAGACACTTGACCTTAGTGGCAAGCGCTTACCTTCCTGCCTCCCCACCCTCCCTCTATTTTCAGTGGAGACTTAACACTTTGGCCCTGGCTACTTCATTGCGCTTAGTTTGCCACACAATGGAGAGAAAAATGCCAGCACTCTCTCTCTCTCTTTCTCTTTCTCTTTCTCTGTGTGACCCTGTGTCTGGTGCAATTGACCAGGCAAAAGTCCATGTCCAAGGAGAGCGGATAGAAGGAGACTTTAGAGTCCAGTATTCAGCATAGCATTCAGGTTCCCACAACAGCAGGCACATCATCATCATCATCATCTTCCGCGTCTGCTTTTGCTTCTGCGGTTGTTGTCGGCAGTTACTTTTCAACGCCAATTTTGCACTTCAACAACGGCAGCATCTCCTGGCTGCACTGTGAGAAATTAAAAGTTTTTAAGGAGGATTTTACATGACATAAAAAGAGAATATAATCTTAGTACATTTATTTCTTAGAGGAAAGTAATTTCCATCACCTTTGAACATTTATCTCTTAAAATTCCATGCAATTTTTCGCTCAGTGTAGCAGGCTGGTTGCCCTCTCGGGAGACGACTTGGGCTTTGGTATTCTCGTTTTTGGCTGCCGTGGGCGATGCATCTCTTCAGACGACGCGACTTGTTGCCCCATTGTTGGTTACCCTTTTGAGCGAGAGAATACCAGAAGAGCCTGACAGACCCACAGAGAGTGAGTTCTCAAAGAGAGGGCGAGAGAGAACTGTGATGATTCTTTGGGCATATCTTTTGCACACTTTAACACTAACGAGCTGTTGACTTCTTTCTGCTCTTCTGCCGGCAGTTGAGTTGCCAAGTTCTGCTACAACTCATCCAGCAGCAGCTCTCCTTCCTATGCTTCGTCTCCTTCTCCTCCATCTATCATTCTCTCATATATCACAATTTTGCTTATGCATTCCAGCTTTAATTCATAATGTAGTAGTATCCCTTTTCTCGAGTCTCGAGTGTCTTTTCATCTAGTTATTGTGGCATTTCTCTCCACCTACCTTTCCCCCGTCGCTTTTGTTAATACTTTTTTTCCTTAATGTTTTGTTTGCGGCTCATTTGTTATGCGAGACATTTCGAAATGTTCTCTGTAATTAAAACATGGAAATATTTCCATAAATACACGGACGCCACTCGATTCGTTTCGGCTGCCAGATGGGAGCAAACCATACAGAAATGACACATCATCATCGACATCGACATCGTCATTCCTAACTTCGTTTGTGTCTCTTGTTGCGGCATATTTTGTGTTTTGTTTTTGTTTACATTACTTTTCTGTTGAGAAATTACAAATACAAAATAACTAATTAAATATGCCGGAGCATGCATTGAATACCCCTTCCACCCAGCCCAGCCCCCACCAACAACTTCACCCAGCATGTGGCGCTCGTTGTCTGTCGAGCGACAGAACAGAACGTGAGGGTGAAGGAGAATTGAGAAGAGAATTCAACTGTTAATTGAATTATAATTGTAGGCTCGAGCACTACTCCTCCTCCCACAACTTTAACTCTGCCTCCCACTCTTTCTGCTGTTCCTCCGTTAGCCACTGCTCCCTTTCATATTCCTCTTCTAGCCGCTGCGCCCTCTACTTTTCGTAATCCTCCTCTAGCTACCTCTCCCTCTCCCTCTTTCTCTTGTTAACCGATCACAATCACGTCCGATCATGTCGGGCAGTCAATCAATGTTCTAAAGCTATTTTCATATTTTCTCTGTTTATAGAAGAGAGATGGGGGACAGAGTTCATTAGAAATGTGGTGCAGAGGGAGATCATTGATTTCATGGGTTTGGGAGTGGAAGCTGGTAAAAGATGAGATAATTTTTGATGAAATTGTTGGGAAACCTTCGAGGGAATTAAGCCAAGAGTAAAAGATAGATTAGAAGGGACACATATTAATCATTGAATCTATAGTAGGAGAAAACCTCTTTTACGAATAGCTTCATTCCCCAAATGCACGTAAAATCTGTCAATCTGTGAGGAATCGAAGAAAAACAACATTTCTAAAGCTAACTAAAATATCCAGTTAAGCTACAGCCACGAAATCACGAAATAAAACTGCAATATTGAAACTGGGGATTGTTTCCAAATCAGTTTCCACCTTCGAATCGGAGAGCCAATTGCCTGATTCAATTGGAAACCAACTTTTGCGGCACCTCGGGCAGCGGTGGAGCAGGAGGAGAAGCAGGAGTCATGGAATGGTCGACGGCGTCAGTGTAAACAACAAGAGGGATCCATACCAAAAGATGTATAGCAGGCGTTTGAGGCACGCACCAAACGCACCTTCAGGCAGGCAACACCACCACCCGTTGAGTGGGGGCATGGAAGGGGTTGGGCTGCTTCTCCACTGTGGGTGTGTGTGTGTGGAGTCGAGTGTTGTACAGGGTGGAGGAACATCAGCCAACACACAATCCAAAAGCATCCCTTGGTGCTGGTTTCCTGCCCGAACATCACGCTGATTGTTGGATCTGTTGAAATGCGCTTGAAAAAATAAACCAAAACTCGAGGAAAAAGGCATAAATTATTTGAGGCACCCCCACCCGTTCTCCTTTTTTCTCTCTCTCTCTCTCTCTGTCTCTCTCGTTCTGGTGGGTGGGTGTGTGTGTATGTGTGTTGCACGGTAAATTAAGGTGACCATATGTGGCCGGAGGGCAGTGGCAGCACGGGCAGCACGGCAGCACCAGCGGCAATTGCAGCCCCCCGACTGAGAGAGCAGCAAGTGAAGCAAGAAAAACAGTTCATAAAATCAACAAACAGGAGGCATGGGGTGTGGGGTGTGGGGCAGTGGCAGAAGAATGGAAATGGGCAAATACAGAATGGGAATGTGTATGGAAATGGGAATAAGAATCTCGAACAACATTCGAAATGCCACGGAGGGAATGGCGCGTGTTGCCGCTACTGTTGGCTGTTCAAGTTTCAAATAAACTTCGAAATGCATAAATAGTTTACAACAATAACAAGAAAATCAGCACCGCCAGAGCAGCCAGCCACAGCAGCTAGTAGACCTGCTGCTGCAACCTGCCACATCAGCAGCGGGAAAGCGGGAAAGCGGGAAAAGCGAAAGAAAAACAGGAACAAGTGCGTTGATTGCAGCCGCCTGCACTTTAGCATGGGGAGGGGATCCATGGGGTATGTCAGTGGAGCGTAGTGAACAGTGATGGGGGGAAAATGTGTGGGCCGTGTCTGCTCTCGGGAGCTATTTTGAAAAGCGTCTGCCACGAAGGCTCGGAATGGAGAATGCAGAATTCAGATGCATCTGCGGTGCATACTAAGAGTTCATTGGTTTCCACTTCCTCTGCACTCCGTTCCATTTCATTGCACTCTCTTTATCTCGCTCTCTCTCTATCTGACTAGAACATGTCTGTGTCTTTGTCTCTGTTTCTTTCTTTCCCTTGGAAGATCTCTTTATCTTCTTGCGGGCACGTCTCTGCCATTTGTTTGGTCATCTATTGGGGCTGAGAGAAGTCGGCATTATGACCAGTCTAATCATTTCAGGGAATTAGCTCAATGTTTGGGCATTCCTTAACAGATAATCATGAGTGGATGAGCAGTTTCAACTCCAATAAGGATAAACCGTCTCTTAAACATTTAAGACAGGAATAGCAGACTGGAATATATTAAATGTGAACCCACACAGTTATCAGTCCCTCTCTGGTTACAATTTCTTGAGGTATTTCCCCATTTTATTGTTAAATTTTAAATTGATTTTCAACAAAGAAACGTTTTCCTCGCATCTTAAAATGCAAATCAAATAAATTCCCAGCCACTTTGCAACTTGAATTTCTCTGTTTTACAAGTGCAACATTTTATGAACTCTCTTGTTTGCCTGCCCCCTCCATCCTGCCGCATACCGTTAGTTAGAACCAATGCCTATACTCTCTTCCTCCTCCCCACATATTTGGCGCTCTATGGCATCGTAAATATTTTTATTGCATGGCCGTAAAAATAAAACAACAAAATAGAGAGAAAGAGGGAAAAAGTGCAATAGACTATCAACAGTTTCACGCCTTCCTTCGACGACCTTACATATCCGTAGAATACGAGTATGTAAAGTAAATATGTATATGTAGATATGTATGTAGATCGGTTAATACTCCACCTATGCCGCCCTGCCGCCTTTTGTGTGTTGTGTTGTGTCGGTCTGTCCATTTTGTATCTTTGTTTATGCCACACACATGTTACGCCTACGAAAAAGTCGTATAAAAACATAGACAATCGACAACAGGCAACAGCCAACAGCCAACAGCCAACCGACAAACACACACAAAAAACGTCGTCGCATGTCCCGCAGGCAGCGGAGAGGTTCTCCTCTATTGTCTAGTGACTGTGCCTGTGCCTGTGCCCGTGCCTGCATGCCATATGTGGCATGTGTGGAAATGCTAATGGGGAAAAACTTGATAGCTGGAAGGGAGTCGGTCCACGGTCTACGGTCTACGGTCTACCTACGGGTATCGTTTCGTGTGTCGCTTGCACTCGTACTTTGTTTGTCTGTCAATCAGAAATAATAATTATGCACGCGGGAAAAAAGTTTGTTCAGAATTACATACACACTAAATGCTGCATGCAACAAGCTTCACCAAAAATGGGAAACCAATAAATGATAAAGCTCTCCCACCGGCTATCGGCATATCGTGACCCTTGTGACTCTACTCCGCGCTTCCCTCTCTGTCTGTGGACTCTTAAAATGTCACTTAAAAAACTAACAACTAAAAAAACTGTCACGACTGTGCTCGCGCTCGTTCAAAGTTCAAATTCA